GGACATGGAGGCCCCCAAGCCCAGCGCCAGCCTGTCCGACCCCAGGAGGGGAAGGTAACCTAAGACTCTGGCTGGGCCAGCCCCTCGAAAGGGTTTGATTCATAAAACTGGTCATGCCAGAGGGCCCAGCCATGGGCGGAGGAAGCGCGGGAGGGGGGGGGTGTTTATTTTGTCTGCTTTCAGTCGCCGGCCGGTGAGCCGTGTCCACTTGCGCGCGCGCCCTCCACCCTCGATCGCCCTGACCACGACAGGCAACGAGGTGGAGGTAGGAGAAGGGGGCTCACCCAGCCGGTCTAGGTGTTCGTGCATAGCCCGTCTGTGGGGGCGGGGGGCACGGATGCACAAGGCACCCCCAGTAAGCAGCCCTAACTACCCCAAAACACTCACCAGGAGGTGGTCACAACTAAGCGAGTCCGGCAGGTTGGGCCTCGTTCCTTCCCGGGCCGGCCCTTCGGGTCGTGGGTCCCGGGGGTCCCGAGGCAGCCGCTTTCGCGTCTGCGTCCGCGTCTCCTTGCCTGTGCTCTGGCTCGCAAGTCAGCTCTGGGAGCCAGATCCCGCCTTAAGAGCAGGGGGCGGGGCCGCTCCCTGGGAAGGGCGGGGCCAGTGGGGTCCGCCTTCACCAGCACATAAGGGGTCATTAAGCAGCCCCAGGCCGTGTCGTAGCCTCCGCCACCCCCGGACTGGGAGAGGAGAGACCGGCCAGCCTCGGAATTTAATCGCGCCGCGGAATTTAATCGCTCGCCAGGGCGTCCCGGGTACCAGTCTAACATGCCATTAGTTTGCTGCCTGACCTTTGGCAAGTCCTGTTTTTTGCAAGCGAATATTGAGCAACATGCAGAGCCACTAGCTGCAGTGAAGGTACCCATGCATAAACTCCAGAAGGGACCCCAGGTCTGGGGAGAGCCTGCCACCAGCCCCCATGCCTGCTGGAGCCCCAAGTTTCTTCAAAAAAACTGTAAACTCAGTTTCTGGGTGAAATACTCAAGGTGTTATGCCGGTAACTCGGTCCAGTTAAATAACAAAACCTCATGTAGGCCACCCAAAACCTTTCCTAGAGCCTCCTTCTGCAAAATCTAAGGTTTTAGACCCTCTGACCCCATGTTTCCCATGAAGAGACTGATTTGCAGGAAGAGGCAGTGACAGACCCCCTGAGCAAAGAAAGACCCAATTCCTGACAACTTCAAATCTAGAATGGTGGGGGGAGGCGGGCAGAGGAGGGGGTTTGGACCTGAGCTACAATTGGGAGTGGCGCCCTTGGCTAGGCAACAGGAGGGTGGGGGCTGGGACTGGACAAGTACAGAAAAATCCCCTGCTTTGGAGGATTCCGGGAAAATATCCTGCTCTCCTCCCCCTCTGTGCTTGTGGCTAGAGTCATGCCTCCAAGCCTCTGGGGATACAGCCCAGCTCCTGACTTGCAGAGTCCTGGGCCAAGGGATGGTGGAAAGGAGCACCAGTCCAGTGAGGACCAGCTAGCTCTAGTCTTGAGGGGCCTGGAGTTCTTCTTAGAAGGTCTCTGTGCCCAGTAGTGACAGGCTGGGCAGAGCGTCCACTGCCCTCTCCCTCAGGACCCCTTCTAGGACAGTGGAGTCCCGCATCTCTCAGGCCCTCCCGTGTCACACCTCTGTACATGTGTACACAGTACATGTGATGCAGCAAGGGGCTAGCTTCACGAGCTTCGTTGGTCTATCCAGGCATGTTACAGGTCTTTGAGGCAGTTGCCAACATTTAAAACTCAGGTGGTCTCTCATTGAAACAGGGATTCCCAGCTCATCTTGACAGGGAGCATGGCTGGGGCTGAGTTCCCTCTCCAGGTTGCTGCAGTTCCTACCACTCCCTATTGCCTTATACCAAGCTGTTTCACACAGTTATATTTCTTGCTTGTCCTGGAAAGCATTTGAGTGCAGTTGCTGTTTTAGGGTTTAAGTCAGATGGTCCTCCTGTGCCACTGTCCTTGGGCTGCGTGTCCCCAGAAACCTTCAGAAGGGTGCACAAATGTGAGAGGAACTACGAGGACCATGAGCCCACCTTATCCCAAGCAACAGGACTTGCTAACTGGGCTTCAGTACTCTCCTGCCTCTGTGGCCTATTGCCACTGATGGAGACCCTTCCTCCACTGAAGTCCCGATCCCACCCCACACCCTGATCCTGCACCTGGACCTTCTCAGGCCATGCTCCCACTCACCCAGATATTTAAGGGAAGCCTCCCAGGGGACCCTTCCCCAGTTTCTAACCTTCCCTGTGTGCTTTACAGACACACCCCTCCCTTAGATCCTGGTTGCTGGGAGCTCCTTGAGGTGGGGATTATAGGACAGAGCCTCACTGGGGCCAGGGACAGACAGTCTCAGGAGAGTTAGACTGCCTCGGACCATTGGCAGTGCCAAGATACCTTGGTTGTAGGGCTTAAGGGGCTGTTGTGGGGTAGGACAGGGATAGTCTTAAAGCTCCTCTCGTAGCAAGCACACGGTCTACAGGAGTATGGAAAGAGCTGTTGGAGATTATCAGGGTAACCTCCCCACACACTGGTAGTCCCGGGGTGGAACATAAGTTAAGCAATTGACTATGGTTGGCAGTTTAAACCCACCCAGAGGCACCTTGAAAGAAAGGCTGGGCAGTCTGCATCTGAAAGGTAATAGTTTTGAAAACCGTCTGGAGCAATTCTACTCTGAACACATGGGGTCCCCAAAGTCAGAATCGACTTGACAGAAATTAACAATAATCACACACACACATACGTGATTCCCTTGGTACCAACACTGTCATGCATGTTCAAGGACTTGGCCCAAGGTTGGGGGCATATCTCAGCTCTGGACCCTCCTAGAGCCTTGGTCTGGGGCTAGACCCCTGGTCAGAGCTGCCCCCAGTAGCAGGCCAACTAAGGTACTACCCCCGCCTGTGCCCTGGCAGTGGGCGCGGTGCCTAAGTAGCACCCACCACCTCTGACTGCCTGCCAGGTCTGGGCTCCCATCCTGCATTCCAGAACCAGGCCTGGGGGTCAGGCCCGTGCCAGCTGCTGGCCAGCCCTTGAGGCTGGGTTCCCTGACCCTGTTTCCTGATCTGTGCCACGGCGGGCGGGATGCTCCCACTTGGCAGAGCTGCCTAGATGGCTTTGCCAAGGGCCAGGAAGACTGACTGGCCTGACCTGTTGGAGGAGCCAGTCTTGTTGTCCTCGACTTCCTGCCCCCCTCACCCCCCGTACACCCAGTGCTTGAGTCAGTGGGCCAGTGCAGTGGGGGTGGGGCCCAGGTCAGCCTTTTCCAGATATTGGCTTACAGCACAAGTAAGCTCCAGGTTCCAAGATGGAACCTGCAGGCCCCCTCCCAGGTCTCCCCAAGGATGCGAGGGGTGATGACAGGAGCTTCCTCTTTACCCCCCCACCCCCCTTTCCCCGATCTACACAGCAGCCAGATTGGTATTTGCTCAGTGACAATCTGATCTTATATCCTCCTGCTTCATACACATTCTGAGTTTTGTGTTACTCTAGCAGCAGACCCCTCACTGACTGCGCCCTGCATGGTCTGGCCTCTCTGTCCACCCCATCCTGAGCCTCAACCCCTCACTTCCTCTGCCCAGGTCAGCCAGTCACATTGTCTTCTCGCTGTCCTTCCCCTGAGCTGTATCCGCCTGTCTCAATGCCTTGGCATGTCTGGGATGGTCGCCTCCTCCTTAATCTCTGGATCACAGGGAAGCTCCCACCTTCACCGGGACCCGGCCTGGGTCCTGGGTCGGCAGGAACTTGACCTGCTTGTTTGTGGAACTTGGCTGTTCTCTGGCCCTCACATGGGCTATGAGGTCTCTGAGGATAGGGGCCACTGTCTTTCACTCACGTTGGGTCATACCTGCTGGCTCAGCTCAGGGTCTGGTCCATAACAGTTCATTAAGGGAAGAGATGATGAGAATAAATGAGTGAAAACCCCATTCAGGTTGTGAAGGGGAGTAACCATCACCAAGTGGGGGGTTACTCCTGGTCACACCTTTGTCCCTTGCCCTGAGACAGGCAGTGGTCAGAACAGCTGAGGGCGGGCAGGCAGTGTCTGCTGCTCACCCTGCTGGTCCAAGGTAATTAGGGACCTGTGTTACTCACAGGTGACCTGCCCGGCACTCCAGGAAGTTATAGAGACACAGGGTCCCCACCCAGCTTCCTGACTCCTGGTGAGGTGGTGGACAGCTGGCCGGGAGAGGGGTCAACGGGGAGGGGCTGGCCCTTTGTTGCCTGGGTGAGAGACAAAGGCAACTGCCACAGCTGGGTGACCTTTGACCCCTGGAACCACAGTGACATGAGGTTCTGTTTGAGGAGGAGAATCATGGGTGGACTGGGTAGAGGGTCCAGGTCCTCAGGTTCCCAGGGACATGAAACCAAGACCAGGAGCAGAATACAGAAACAGGAAATCAGAATACAAGAGAGGGGCTTCACGGCAGAAAGCCATGCTCACAGGCCGGAGCTCCCAGTGTGCTCTATCTACTCACATCCCCAAAGCTATCCCCCTCCTGCCAGAGGCCCCACCTGGGGCCACGGAATGGTTGGAGCAGGTGGGAAGCATACAACTGAAGAAGCCCCCCCTCCCAAGGCACCTGACTCAAATGGACCCAGGCCTCAAAGTCAGGGTACAGGAGAGATCTAAGCCCCTAAGATGTCTGCAAGGCCCAAGGGGCTGGATGAACAGACACTCCCAGATATCAGTGGGTAAATGTGGGTTTGGGCCCCCCACAGACAGGCAGCCCTAGGGAGGTAGAGTTCCTGGTTCTAGTATGTACCCCTCCCCTAGGTAACTGATATCTGGGTTGGCCGAGGTAAGAGCAGGGGCAGATTGTCTTCCTGAAGAAGGAGAACTATGCTCAGGGCTCTGAGAGTGGGGGTCAGTGTTTTGGGGCTCAGGGAGAGGATCTGGGGGCTGGGTTGCTCTTGCTCTTGGGAACACTACCCTGAGCCTATATCAAGGGTTCATCCTTTGAGCTTCCTCCCGGGCAGCTGCAGCATCCATCTACTGGCCTGTCTCCCCCAGGTCTTTGATGCCCCTGCTGGACCCAGACTCTGGACTTCTGGTCCTGGCAGGAAAGGTGAGCAGAAGGTTGGAGCCCCCACCCCAACCCACGGTCCAGAGCCCAGCCACAGGCAGCCAGCTGGAGAGTGGAGAGCCCGGAGACCAAGCCCCTCTGAGAGGAGAGATAATTGAAGTGTCCACATCTTCATTCCTGTAATTGGGGTGACTTCAAGTCCAAGAGACCAGAGTCTTGCACAGCATGCCCTAGGTCCCCGTACATCCTGAGAGTATGCAGCAGAGCCCTGTGGGCCCTTTCTCCTGAGCCTATAGCCCTGGGATAGCATGGTCAAGTCTGTGAAGGGCTCGGAATCTTGGGGGCAGCTACCTGGGTGCAGTCCATAGGTGGAACTCAGGTCTGGCTTGTTTCAGGGAGAGAGACAGTTGTTCTGCTATGAGGTGGCTTCACTGCAGCCAGCACTGAACCCAGGTAAGCCTCTCTCCTCCCCCTCCCACTTCTCTCCTTTGCCCATAACTGCCCTCTTATTGTCTTCCTCCACTCCCACCCCAGTGAACCAGTGCATCCTGGAGAACACCCTAAGGGGGGCAGCGCTTGCTCCCAGGAGGGTGCTGGCTGTCCTTGACTGTGAGGTGCTCCGTGTCCTGCAGCTGAGTGACATAGCCATCGTACCTATCAGCTACCATGTGCCCCGCAAGGTGAGGATGCCTCGGCTGGGAGCTGGGGGCACTAAGGCTGAGGGCCTTCCTGGCCACCTGCCTGTTTTCCATCCACCAGGCTGTGGAGTTCCATGAGGACCTGTTTCCAGACACCGCAGGCTGTGTGCCCGCCTCTGAGCCCCAAGCCTGGTGGGCAGGGAGCAACCAGCAGGTAGGATCTAGCCTGGCTGCTTACTGACCCGTTGGTTCCCTCACAGGGTGGCCCATGCCCCAGAGTCACCCACAGCTCCTGATGACCAGCCTCTTCTCGCAGGTGCAGAGGGTCAGCCTCAACCCAGCCCGCCAGCCCTACACCAGCTTCACATCCCCCCTGCTGCTCCCACTTTCAGAGTCGCTCCCCAGCCCTGCCCGGCCCCCAGAGATGCCGTTGGAAGACAACAACCCCAGTGTAAGGGCCCCCACCCTGCCCCAGGAGCATGGAGAGCCCAATCTGGATGCTAGAGGCACCTGAGCCAAGCCCTGTGACCCTCCATGGTTGTCAATACAACACATCACATAAGGGGGGAACTTACCAGTGTTTTTTAATTAAGCACACATTTACAAAGCAGGGTTTGGCCCCCAAATCAGAATTTCTGGCTTCTCCTGAAACCCTGGAAGGTCTTGGCCATCACTCTGAGTTGTACACACCCACTCCCCACCTGTCCTCATCCCGTGCCCCAGGGTGTCATACCCAACATTGGGACCCACAGCCAAGGCAGGGCTCAGTGTTGTGACCCTGGATGGAGGCCTCACTAACTCTGTACTGCTCCCCAGGACGGCTTCTCCTCCCCACTCAGCTCGCTGGCCTCACCTTCCACACCTTCCAGCCTGGCCCCCTCTCACTCCAGCACCAGCGGTATTGGCACCAGCCCCAGCCAGAGGTCACTGCAAAGCCTGCTGGGTAAGTGGGCAGGACTACTCCTTCCAGGGGACTCTGCTCTACCCCTCACCTAGCCATCCTCGCTGCTCCTCTGCCCCACTAGACCTGCCCTCCCCACCCTGCTGTTCTCCCACAGTCCCTTACCCCTGCCTTCTCCCATCCTGCCTCACACAGGTGGAGTTAGGAATCCTCCTTGTAAGGATTAATGAAGTGAGGATGGTAGGACATAGCTACAAAAGCAAGCAAGAGAGTCTAGACCAGTGATTTCCAAACTCTGTCTCCCTGGGGCCCCAGCCTTCTACCAGGATTCCTTGGTGCCACGGAGGGGCCTGGCCCAGTGGACTCCACTCCTGTGCAGGCTACAGGCTGTGTTCACATGGTGTCAAGGACTCAGTGCCCACCCCCAGCTCTTACTGCAGTCTGCTGGGCAGACAGCTTCATGCATGGCTTTCTCACTGCCACCCACCAGGCCCCAGCTCCAAGTTCCGCCATGCTCAGGGCACTGTCCTGCATCGAGGCAGCCACATCACCAACCTCAAGGGGCTCAACCTCACCACACCCGGCGAGAGTGACGGCTTCTGCGCCAACCAGTTTCGTGTGGCAGTGCCCCTGCTCAGCAGTGGCGGGCAGGTGGCCGTTCTCGAGGTGAGGGATTGCAGGCAGACAGCCGGGGCATTGGGGATCTACAAGAGCTCACATCCAGCAAGCGCCCCCCTGGGGGCCAGGCACTCTTGGGTCCCCTTTTTACAGATGAGGGCGTTCAGGCACAGAGAGGCCTAGTGACCTGCCTGAGGTCACACAGCTGTGTAAGTGGTGAAGCTGAGAATTGAACCCAGGTCCTCAGCACCCCAAGCCTGAAGTCTCTCCACCATTCCACGCTGCCATTCCCATCTCTTCTGGGGCCTCACAGTTGGCATCTGGGGCTCTGAGCACAAGGTAGCTGAGGTAGGGCGTTTGAGCCACTCAGCAGTGAGGACATGGACCATGGCACAGGGGTGCCCAGACTGCTGCTACCGCAGCCCAGCCCCAGTGGACGGGATGCTCTTGCTGGTACTGACTGGGGCATGGGGGGACCCTCCCACAGCTGCAGAAGCCAGGCCGCCTGCCCGACACTGCGCTGCCCACACTTCAGAATGGGGTGGCTGTGACCGACCTGGCCTGGGATCCCTTTGACCCGCATCGCCTGGCCGTGGGTAAGCAGGTGGGCGTCCAGTGTGGGGGAGGTCCAGGAGTCCCAAGCCCAGCAGTGCCTAGCCTCTGTTCTCTGCAGCCGGGGAAGATGCCAGGATCCGACTATGGCGTGTGCCCCCGGGGGGCCTGCAGGAGGTGCTCACCACCCCCGAGGCAGTGCTTACAGGTCAGGCAGGGCCCAACAGGGCGGAGTGTGGGCAGGGGCTCCTGAGGGGCTCAGCGTCAGCCCTGGCCTTCCCACAGGCCACACGGAGAAGATCTACTCTCTACGCTTTCACCCACTGGCAGCTGATGTGCTGGCCTCCTCTTCCTACGACCTCACAGTTCGAGTCTGGGACCTGAGGTGTGGAGCCGAGCAACTAAAGCTACAGGGTCACCAGGACCAGGTAGGACGGCCATGGGCAGGCGGGGGACGGACGTAGCCTCGAGGCCAGAAACTGCCTCTCACATCCCACACCTCCACCCCAAGATCTTTGGCCTGGCCTGGAGTCCAGACGGGCAGCAGCTAGCCACTGTGTGCAAGGATGGGCGCGTGCGCATCTATGAGCCCAGGAGTGGCCTCGAGCCCCTGCAGGTGAGTAAGTGGGAGCTGGGGGTGACCCTCAGACCCACCCAGCTTAGGCCTTACATATTACACCCCAACAGGAAGGCCCAGGGCCCGAGGGGAGCCGCGGAGCCCGAGTTGTCTGGGTGTGTAATGGCCACTGTCTGCTGGTGTCTGGCTTTGATAGGTGAGGATTCAGGGACCACCAGCCCCAACTCCTGGCTTTGGCAACCACCTGTGTCCCCCTTCTCCAAACACACAGACCTGTCAGGCTTGCAGAAGTAGCTTGCTGCCCTGACTCCTCACTTGGATGGATGGGTTGTTGGGTGGGTGAATGGATGGGTGGGTGGGTAGGTAGGTGGGTGAGTAGATGGGTGAGTGAATGGGTGGATGGAAGGAGGGAATAAAGGATGAGTAACGGGAGGAAGCACGATGAATAATGGATACACAGATGGAGGAAGGGATGGAGGATGGCTAGATTGAGGATAGGTAGTGGAAGCGAGGAGGATGGCAGGAATGTGCGTGGATGACGCCGCATGGATGTGAGGGCGCTAGGGTGGGGGAGTGAGTCTCCTGGGAGCAGACTGGTGGAAGCCAGGTGAGGATCAGAAAATGCAGAACCAGGCCTGACTGGAGAGAGCTGAGGAGGCATCAGGGAGGGCCTCCTGAACGAGGTATCATCTGACCTGGGTCACTAGGGACCTGAGAAGAGGCTGCTGAAGGCCAGGAAACTGAGCCAGCTAGGCTGGAGCAGAGGGAGGAGACAGAAGTGCTGGAAGGCTGGGCAAGGCCTCAGAGGCCAAGTGACCACGGGGACTGTGCTAAGGAGGGGTGGGGGTGGCTGTGGGGACCAGAGAGTTGTGAGGGTCAGACTAGGCAAAGTGTGGGCGGAGGCCTCGCCCATTGATCCCTGAGCCTCGTGCTCTTGCCAGGCAATATCAGGGCCCTTGGAGTCACTAAAGGTGCCTTGGTGTGATACACTTGGTTAAACCTTTGACTGCTAACCTTGAGTTCAGTGGTTCAAACCCACCAGCCATTCCATGGGAGAAAAATGAGACTATCTGCTCCCATAGAGATTTACAGCCTCAGAAATCCTAAGGGAGCAGTTCCACTCTGCCCTGCCAAATTAAGTCATCGGCAGTAGGTTTGGCTGTTTGGTTTGGAAGTCTTTGCCCTGCCACAGGTCCCTCAAACTCTGAAGACCTGCCCCTGTCTCCTTGCAGCCGAAGCGAGCGTCAACTTCTGCTATATTTGCCTGAGACGCTGGCTGGGGGCCCCTTGGCCGTACTAGGCCTGGACGTGGCCCCCTCGACTCTGCTGCCCAGCTACGACCCGGACACAGGCCTGGTGCTACTCACCGGCAAGGTGGGTGGGGATGAGCCAGGTGGGGCAGTGGGAAGGGGAGGAGGTGGGAGGGAGACCGCGGCTGCCAGACTGGGTTGGTCACCCCACTCTTGCCTCCCCGTCCAGGGCGACACCCGCGTGTTCTTGTATGAACTGCTGCCTGAGGCCCCTTTCTTCCTGGAGTGCAACAGCTTCACGTCACCAGATCCCCACAAAGTGAGCCCCACTCTCACCCCTAACTCTGGATCCTCGTAAAGGGATCCCTGGATGGGACCGCAGGGCTGCCTCACCCTCTGGTGGCCATGTGGGGAAGTGCAGGCATCTGTGGGCCTAGTGGGTCATGGTTCTGGGCCGGCCTGGGAGTAGAGGGACCTTGCTGAGACTGCAGTAGAGCCCTGGTGTGGCACTGTAGGGTAAGCACTGGATTGCTAACTGCAAGGATGGCTGTGCAAACCTAGCAGCCACTCCTTGGACACTGTCAGGGTCACTGTGATTCCCAGTCAACTAGACGGCACTTAACAACAACCAGGTATCTGTGAGGTGGAGACACCTACCAGGTGATGGGACACTCCTGCAGGTCTCTTCCCATTACTCCGTGTTGGCTTGATGTAGGCCTTGCTGGGGGCATTGACACCGTGGGAATGGGGAAAGACTGTTTCTCCAGATCCTCGGGACTACCAGCACACCGCTGCCAAGGGGCAGACACGGTCCATTTCTCCTAGGAGAGGAAAACTGGCCCCGGAAGCCCCTGTATGTCCAGGCTGCTTCTGATTTCTCTGCTTCCTTCAGGGTTTCGTCCTCCTGCCCAAGACAGAGTGTGATGTACGGGAAGTAGAGTTTGCCCGATGCTTACGGCTCCGGCAGACCTCCCTGGAGCCGGTCACCTTTCGGCTACCCCGAGTCAGAGTGAGTTTGGGGGCCAGGTCTCCCATTCCCTCCCAACTCATTGCTTTTGGGGGACACCTGCCTGCTTGCTCCTTGACTGATGAGTCTCAGGTCTCACTGGGTCCCCTCCTGATGGATTCTGTGTACCCCAGTCCCCTGGGCAGTGCCCCAGGCAGTGCTTCCGGATGACCCCTTCCTGCCTCCCTGCAGAAAGAGTTCTTCCAAGACGACGTGTTCCCAGACACAGTCATCAGTTGGGAACCCGTGCTCAGCGCTGAAGCCTGGCTGGGAGGCACTAACGCACAACCTCGGCTCCTCTGCCTGAGGCCCCCTGACATGACCCCAGGTGGAACTTGGGAACAGGAGAACACAAGGGAGTTGGTGGGGGTGGTAAAGAAAGAGGCAGAAGACCCAAGTGCAATCTCCGTCTCTGCTGCCACACAGAAACTTACAGAACTCCCATGGGTGGTGAGGGGGTGGGTGGTTGGGGATGGGGGAGGGTGCCAGACTCAGTGTCTGAGCCCCTGGAGGGCAGGGCCCCTGTGTCTCTGATAAGTCCTCGTCCCTTACACACATGTACACATGAACACACCCTGGTGCCCAGGGCAAGCCTAGTGAGCAGTGGATCCAGTCACTGCCATTCCTTAGGGCTCTGCCTATACTCTCACAGGGCTGGCTCCTGAGGTTGGGGCAAGGAGCCCCCACTCAGAGTACTCTCTGATGGCTGCCATTGCCCCTCCCCAGTAAGCCAGGCCCCTCGAGAGGCTCCTGCCCGGCGGGCCCCCTCCTCAGCGTTCTACCTGGAAGAGAAGTCAGACCAGCAAAAGAAGGAAGAGGTAGGTACAGGAGCCGCAAGGAGCTTGGTCCAGACACCTCGCAGAGCCCTGAGTTCTCAGCTGCTGCTATTCAGGGTCTCTCTTCACAGCGTGTTGCCTGGCAACCTTCCTAACATCTCTCATTCACCCTTCTAGCTGCTGAGCGCCATGGTAGCAAAGCTAGGGAACCGGGAAGACCCACTCCCTCAGGACTCTTTTGAGGGTGTGGACGAAGATGAGTGGGTAAGTGGACAGATGGGCCCTGACACCGCCATGGCCCCTCGCCTCTGTAGAGTGCTTCATCTCCCTCAGCACCAGCATCCCTCCACCCTCCACAGTGCCGCTCCCATATCTCTGTTTATTCCCCCAGGACTAGTCTAGCCACCATTCACCTCTGGCCTCACTTGCCTCGTCCTAGACATGTTTCATCCTCAAACTGGAAGACACCACCCTGCCCTCAGCTCATCTCATACCTGAGAGCCTGGCTTCCTTTAGACCTTGGGCCCATCCATCTCCCGGCCCTCTAGCCACTCTCGGGAATTGTTCACACCTCTGCTTTCTCTGAGACTAGCCGCTTCTCCTCAGCTGCCTGCTAGCATGTGGAACCAAGGTTGCCAATGAGCACGTCCCTGGGGTGGCTCTGGGGCACACTTCCCCAGCTGACCTGGGCTGGTCCCAGCCTGGGCTGGCTTTGTCCAGTGCCTTCAGCTCCTGTATGCTAACCCATCTTGCCTACTGCCCCAGTTCTTGTCAAGGACATCAGGGGCTGGCTCCCCACCTGTCCATTTGGAGCAGCACCAACCTGAGGGGCCTGGGACCACCTGCCCCTACTCTCTTGACTTGAAGCCAGGAGAAGGGGGCACCACAGAGCTGTTGGCCCAATTAAAGGGATTGTGGGTCCCACCAATGTGGGCCTGCACACATCAGGATGTCCTCAGCAATTAAAGTTTTCTAAACTGGCCACCTTGTGTGCTGCTCTTTTCTGTGCTGGCTGGGAAGGGAAAGGGAGCGGGGAGTATGGGGCAGTAGGGCCCTGAGCTCACTATTGTCACCAGGCCTGGTCAGCCACATGGTGCTTGGGATTCATTCCACATGGCTGTTGTCTCAGGATTCTGCAGAGAAACAACCAGTAGGTAGAGAGAAAGAGATGGAAGAAAGAATCTAAATGATTGCTGATGGGACACTGGCTAAGCATTCAGCTGCTTACCACGGGAGGAAGACCTGCTTTCATAACTCTCTAGGGACAGTTCACCCCTGCCCTGTGAGGTCACAGGAGCCAGATGGACTCTATGGTCAACAGCTTAGGGGTCTGGGGTGCCTCGTTGAAAGGTCATTGAGCAAAGACTTGACAGACGTGAGGGAGGGAGCTTCACAGGTGTGTGGGAAACAACTTTGCAGGCAGATGGAACCAGAAATGAAACATACTGGAGGTTCCCTCATTTTCTTTTTCTTTTTTTTTAATGTTTTATTGTGAATTATGTGATAGTTTACATGAGAGAACACAATCCCCTTCATGCATCATCAACCAACCACAAGCCTGCCCCCCCACACCCGGTTGTCAGCACACAGCCCCTCCCCCTCTCTGTCTAAACTCCCCAACTGCTCCATCTCTCCATGTCATTGTCTCTGCCTCCAACTCAGGCATCACTGCTTCTCTGGGTAGGGTCCCTCTGTGCTCTTCTCCCTTGATGATCCCAGGGACCTCCACTCCTAGACTACAAAGTTAATCACACCCCTCCTTGCTACAAAAACGTCTACCTTTACATT